GGTGTGCTCATTTGGGGGAAATCCTTGTCAGTATTTCCCCCAAATTAGCACACCCCAAGAAACCAACCCCTGACAAATCGCTGGACCTACCTTTCACGCCTACCACCACATGCTTTTAATAAAGCATAACCCATTTTTTTTCTTTCCTGTGTCCCTGCCTTTGTTAATGAGCCTGCGTAAAGCCAAAAGTGAATTATTCTTCATGGCTCGTGCATAGCTAATGCCGTTTGGATGAACGAATGTCTTGTGGCCAAAAGTCTGTGGGCTGTTTGCAGAGAGAGTGACCCCACTGATTTCTTACGCTTAATTGTGTGTTGTGCTGTTAGTCACCGGTTATCTGATCTTTTCCCCCTCCCCCGGTTGTCTGCAGGAGCGCTTTTGTGCAGTGGGAGAATATAAAAAAGGTACATTTGCCTGAGGAGAGACGGTCGTGTTTACATGTATATTTATGTATTCATAAAAACTGTTTCTCAAACACTTGTGAGAACAACAGTAACAAATAACTGCTTTTCTGTGGATCTGCCCAGGCACCAGACATTAAAAGGTGAATGAATATTGTATAAACTCCTGCTCAGCTGTGGAAGAAGCCTGGTATTTATTTACCTGGCTGTTCCTGGAGCGTGCGCAGGAAAACAAAAAAAAGCAGAAACCTTGCGTTTGAGTTAGTGCTCAGCTGGAGACTGACATGGAATTACTTTATCTGACTGTTCCCAATAATTGCAATTAAATGGGTTGATTTCAATTTGAATGACTCCAGTCCAGCCCTGCCTTCGTTCCCTAGCTAGTCCCACTACCCAGCCTGAGAAGAGGTTTATTATGGTAAACACCTGGCTGTCGTGACTGCAGGTGAGCTGCCTTTGATCCCTTTAAATCCTCCGGCGTCCCCCTGCGCTGCCAGCCTGCCCTGGCTGTGACCGGCCTCCCGTCCCCCGCCCCTCGGCACCTGCACCCGTGCACCCGGGGGATCCGCGTTCTCTGCGTCACCTTCGGCCTGTCGCTCTTTTTGGCCCGGGGAAAACCTATCGCTAAGGTGGCCAAGGAGCTGCACCTCTTTCTGGCCAAGAGCGTAATAATATAAACACTGTTTGATGTCGAATGTTACTCAAAATAACGTTATTCTGAGTAATTTGGGATGTTCCTTATATAAGCAAGGGTGGTGCTTTCCTGCTTGGTGTGTCCGGGATTCTCTCTTGCCTGAGCTTTAGAGCAAGCAACCCGTCGTAAGCAAAAGCACAGAGACATGCTTTTATAGTCATAAAAATATGACTTGAACGTTACTGTGTTTGTCACACCGGTGTTGACAGTCTCAGGCCTAACAAAGACAATCTCGCGTGCTTGATGGGTCACCGAAAGGTGAGTGCTTATAAAGGGTGGCAGCTGGATTTTCCTGCAAACATTAAGCCTCTTAAATTGTGCCTTCTAGCGAGGAAAGTCTGTGAATAATAGATGAACTTGGCACTTCTTTTTACGCCTGCTTCCGAAGTGGCAAGAGCGTTTGCTTGCTGCCGGCGGCCGCGGTACTTCCCCATCGCTGTTCGGAGGGTGTTTAGGGGCGCCCGCTGAGCGTCCCCTTACGGGCCAGCTGGGGTGGGGGTGCTGAGCGCCGGGGTGGCGCGGGCAGCTTTGGGGTGACGCTGCCAGGAGGACAGAGGTGTCCGGAGGAGCGTTGACGTCCAGCCCTGCGGGCCGCTGCTCCGCGGCTGGGGGTGGCCCGGCTGGGGAAGGAGGACCCTCCCCAGGACTCCTGCCTCCCAGCCCGGGGCCCTCAGGCCAAGTTAGAGAGCTGTGCCGCTTCTCACCGCTTCTCCTGGCTCAACTGCTTCAGAGCTGAAAAACGTTTCCATGCCAGGACTTATCCCCCGGGGGCGAGCGGAGGTTTCAGCTGAAGGAGCCAGGCTGAGAGGAGAATTGCGCCTGGGTTGCCTTTGTGTTGGGTGACTCGGTAGCTGCCAGGTCGCAGGCAGGAGGGGAAAGAGCAGCCCAGAGACAGAACAAACTTTGTTTAACCCCTTGTAGCGTTGGTGGGAACCCATGAAAAACCTCTTCCGTGCCGCGGCTGTAGGCGTCTGGGATTTCTGCTTTCTCTTCCAGCCTGGATAAACTGTGGCACTGGGAGATCAGGGGACAATGTTTGGAGTGAGGGATTTTTTTGCTTGACGTCAAAGCCCTGGAGGGTTGTGTCTGGATATCCGACTCCTCTTGGCTATTCAAGTGGAAGCTGTGGTAGGAAAGGTAGCTCGCTCTTGTGCAACCTGATTTTTCCTCCTCTCTCCCATGTCCAGCTCGGTGATGGCCAGGGATGTGGCATCTGCTGATGCTCCTGACTTTTAGAAGGTGGAGAAGAGTGGGGGGGGGAAAAAAAAGCAATAAGAGTTTTTATTTTGTTGCTCTTTGAATTTGTAAATCACCTAAGAATTGGAGTTCTAAGTAGTAGCCCTGAGGCACTTAAAGCTCATGTGTTAAATTTCTTTACTCTTACTTACAGTTAATTTCTAATTTATCCTTCTGTTGTCTGCCTGGGACACAAGGTAGTGGTACATGGAGATGTCTCTGGTGTGGGTGAGCTGCTGCGGATCCACCTGGGCAGTTACGCAAACCAGCTGCGTGCGGCTCTCTGTGGGAAGGGCATTCCTCCTCCATCACAGCAATAAATGTTTCAAGTTGCCTAATTACGTTTTATTAGAAAATGAGCTAGTCAAGAAATGGGCTAGCCTGAGCGATCGTCCTGGTAGCACTGCAATACTCCGTGTTGGGGTGACTCAAGGAACACAAGGGTTTGGCCTGCAGCGTCAGTACTGTGCGGGCAGGGCTGCTGTTACTGGGCTAAACTGCAGGAGCCCCAAGACCTTGAACTGAAGTGTTTTGAAATGAATGCATTTTTAAGGGAAATATTATTGTAAATTATCTGTAAGCTTTGCAAAGTGCAACCACTTTTTGTCTCTTCCACTGTGAGCCCATCCACACCCTCCATGCTCTAAGTGGCTTGCTTATTCCTCTGTGCTAACCTTAATTGCTTCCAGCTCCTTTGAATGTGCTCATTAAAAATCAGCTTGTCTGACGTGCAGCTGGGAGCTCGCCGACTACCTGGGGTCGGGCTGGAAACGGGCGTCCTGAGCTACAGACGCTCACTTCAGAGCCGTGCAGCTGACACTGGATGTCACCATTGCACAGCACAAACCTCGGGAAGGTGCTCGGGACTTTATTCTCCGCGTGGTATGGGGAGAAAAAGCCTTATCTCTTGACTCACGTCTATGCCCCTCAGCTAGTTTGGGTTTTTTTCCTGAGTTGTGATATCGTGCAAGCTTTGTGCTGGTTCTTGCATCTAAGGAGGACGGGGATAATCCTCCTGAACCCGATGAAAACCAGTTCTGCTCTGGCGTAGCCGTTGGGAATGCAGAGCCAAGGGTGGACTGAATTCCCTGACGGCAGTGGGATTACCATGCACGGTGTACCTGGGTTTGGTTTATAAACTTCGCAGATGGATGGCAAACGTTTTGTTTTGTTGTTAGTTAAACTGCATGCATGTGCGTGTTATTCTCTTATTTTCTGCCTGAGATCTCTGGCCACATGTTTTCTGAAATAATACAGGACTGGGATGTGGGTTGCTAGTAAAAAGTCATTGAAATCTTCAGGGAAAATAATGTGTGAATATATCTCTCTTCCCATCCATTAAAAAAAAAATCAGGAGTCTGCATTTTTTTTTAAAGTGGTCCTTAATCTTTGTTGCTTCAGGCTTGCAACGCCTGCTTGGCTGCAGCATGTCCCTAAAGCTGAAATGGAATTAAATGGGATGGAATAATGGAATTATTCTCCATCCTTGTGTAATGAAACAAGGCCCTCTCTTCTCTCGCTTGTACAGAACAGAGAAACGCACGTATAGTGATGACTACCCTGCTACTCACTGAGCAAGTAACACGAGAAGACCGCGGCTCGGAGGGGAACTATGTCCTTTATGGATCCTCTTGCGCCCAGATCACCGAGGAAGCTGAATACGTGAAAAAGGTATTTCTGCAGTTGTCGCTGTGCTGTTCCTTTCTTTGCTTC